GCCGGATATTGCTCACGCTATTGGTGTGGTGAATCGTTTTCTCTCTAATCCGGGTAAAGAACATTGGGCAGCGGTAAAATGGATTCTAAGATATCTTCGAGGGACTTCGAAGGTGTGTTTGTGTTTTAGGGATGGTAAGCCGATGCTTGATGGGTTCACAGATTCTGACATGGCCGGTGATATTGATTCTAGGAAATCTACTTCGGGGTATTTGATGACTTTTGTAAGGGGAGCTGTGGCATGGCAATCTAAATTACAAAAATCTGTTACTCTCTCAACTACTGAAGCTGAATTTATTGCCATTACGGAAGCTTGCAAAGAAGAGTTATGGTTGAAGAAATTTTTGCAAGAGTTGGGTTTAAAGCAAGAAAAGTATGTGCTTTATTGTGATAGTCAAAGTGCTATTCACTTGAGTAAAAATTCTACTTTTCATTCGAGATCGAAACACATTGATGTGAGATACCATTGGATTCGTGATGTGTTAGATTTGAAATTGTTACAACTCGAAAAGGTCCACACGGATGATAATATTTTGGATATGTTGACTAAGACTTTGTCGAGGGACAAACATTTGAAGTGTCGAACTTTGGCGGGTATGGTTGATATCTCCACCTAAGTCAGTAGGGGGAGAATTGTTGGGTATACCTCCTTATTGGAGTGTGGGACCCAATTGGTTTATTAAAAGAGTTTGATTTAGTTTGGTATTAGGTATAATATATTTTTATATATTATATTTAATTTGTGGAGATCCAATCTAATTTGGAAACAACTAAGGTTTTGAGAAGAAAACCCTAGATTCAAAATATGAGGTGTATTGTTTTTCCCAAGAAAAAAAAACGCAGCAGCAGCAATTTTTCTTTCCGTGAGAGTGGTTGGGGTATCAATCAATTTGGTGGGATTTGCTTTGTGGAACAACTAATTGATTTATTGGACAACAGTGCCTTAGTGAGATTCAATTAGATTGTTTTCTCTGGATTTGACTTGGTCAATTTAAGGATTGGTGCCTTTGGTTTGCTTCTCTGCTTCGTTTCGGCTGCTTTGTGTGGAAGTTGATTTGGTTCGTTATTTTGGGTCTTGTACAACTCTGGTTCTGGAGATTTTGGTTCATCTATTTGGTGAGATCTTTCCTCTTGTTTATTTGTGATTATTTGGAATTCACCTAAGGGTGGTTTTATGAGACCATTAGTGTCTCGTTTTGTAATCGTTTGGAACTTATTTGGTTGATAGTGGAATCGGATTTCGATCCCGTGGACGTACCTCACATTGAGGGAACCACGTAAACATTCTTGTGTTGCCTTTGATTTAATTTTTCCGCATTAGTTTTTATTTCCATTGATTGATTTACTTTTGGGGAATCACATATTTTCCCTAACAAAAACAAAAGTAGGGCAAAGTTTAAATTAAATAAAAATTAACAAAATTATTTCTAAAAAAAAATAAAAAATCATTGCTTCGTCACAGGTAGATTTGAACTCGCCGCGCATTCCCTGTGCTTCAATGAGAGTTGTGTTTGTAATCGGGAATAGATAATGCACTTAGGGATGGCCATATTAACCCAATCCACGGGGTTCATACTCGATTCAAACGGAACAGATATTACCTGATCCGACACTTATGTAGAGCAAGAGTGGATTACATTTTGATCCCCCCAAACGAGGGTGTGGTGGGCGTAAAGATGGCCTCCTCCGATCTAAACCCAACCCAACATAATTAATAATATATATATATATATATTATTAATTAGAAATAAGAAAATCCTAAAAGTAGAGAAACCTAAAAATGGTGTATGATTTTGTAAATATTCTTGTTTGGAATTTGGAATGTGTATGAGGAATTGCAATTTGAAATGTGTTATGTTTAAGTTTTTTTCCTTGTTGGTCCCATTTTTGTTTGCAATTGCAAATGTGGTCGGGTATTCACAGGGACAAGGGTGAGATTGAAATATTCCACTTGTAGCGGAGGTGCGGTTTTATTGGCGGGGGTTGGGGGAGGATAAATCCGCTCCAAACCCACCCCGTGGCTATCCCTATATGCACTAAAAATCAAATTGATAAGATTTTGTTATTTACAAACTTCACCCATTACATTTTATAATTATATTTGTACACCCGAAATTTTTTTTGGGCCTTTCATGTTGTGGGTTGAAATTAAAGAATATTGGGCTGGGCTTCAATTTTGAACTAGCAATATTACTAGAAAGAATCTTGCCCGCATTGGGCCAGGCCAGTCTTGAATGCTTTCAAACGTAGGTCAGCCTGATTGCTAGAGCAAACTAATGGCAACAATCAAAGAAAGATGAACCAAAAAATTCCTACAGTTACGAGTATGTGCACAAGTCTTTCTAAAAAATGGATTCAAATTCCAGTTTTTAATTTCCAACCTCGAAATCTATAATTAGAATCCATTTTTATTTTGTAAGGAAAAAAAAAAAAAAATGACATGTTGAATAAATTGCTTAAGAAACGTTCCAAAATTGCCTAAAAAGAAATGTGTCGTGGTAGGCTTTAAACTTTGATATCATAATTAAGTCATTTCTGTCATAATCTCATTGTGTTTGGCAACAATCAAAGAAAGACGAACCAAAAAAATTCCTACAGTTACGAGTATGTGCACAAGTCTTTCTAAAAAATGGATTCAAATTCCAGTTTTTAATTTCCGACCTCGAAATCTATAATTAGAATCCATTTTTATTTTGTAAGGAAAAAAAAAATGACATGTTGAATAAATTGCTTAAGAAACGTTCCAAAATTGCCTAAAAAGAAATGTGTCGTGGTAGGCTTTAAACTTTGATATCATAATTAAGTCATTTCTGTCATAATCTCATTGTCTTTGCATATTCTAAATGTTTATTCAAATCAACTTAAAAGAAAAGAAAATAATATTTTTTTTAGAAATATTTTAAAATTTTCAAAAAACATAAAACTAGTAGAATTTCTGAAAATATTTTGTTTATTTATTTTTATAAATACTTTTTCAAATTTAGTCTTACAATGCTTTTGTTCAATTTCATCAACTTCACATTTAAACCAACTTCAATGCAATGTATTGAGATGGAAAATGGAGCTGTTTGTATTAATGTCCAGAAAATGATTTTTGGGTTAGTAAGCACCATAGATTGTTTCTTGGACTAGAGCATCGACAAGAACGAGTCTGACAAATGAAACTAAAAATCGTGGGTAATGAAAAATTATTACATAGGTTCGTCACATATCTTATATGGTATGTTTTTACAATTCTATTAGTTGCATATCCATTATTTCTTATTTTTTCTCCTATGTATTTACATAAAACAACTAATAGACTTAAAAGGGTACACAGTCTAATTGGAATTTCTGGAAGACAAGATAATTCCTCCATGGGTAATACACCATTTCAAAACTTAGAATCATGGGTAATACATGGTTGTGTTTTAAACTTGAACAGTTGAATTATACAATTTAGTAACATGTTTCCGTCTAGTAAAGGCATGACAAGATAATTAGGACATTTGGTCTAATAGTTGTGTAACACACTTTGTAGTGTGAAGTATCGGGTTGAATTTGTATGGAGAGGAGTTTGATACCCTTTGTAGTGAAAATTTATTTGGTTGTTGGGCTTGGGCTTGGGCTTAGGCTTGATTTATTGGTTACGTTAGGTTTTATTGACTTTCTAGTTATTGTGGACTAATAGTCTATTTGATGATGTAAATATTTTTCATACTTGCAATTACTATCCTATCGATTGGAAAAAAATAAAAAATAAAAAAAATGGCATAACAAGATTATTAAACTTAGTTTATTTAGGATGAAACAGGTAGAAAGTGAGGGAATGAGAAAAAAATTTAACTTTTATGAACTCGTTTAGCTTGAAAGTGGTAGAAAGTAGAAGAAAATTAATTTTCATATACAATCCATATTAATATTGTAACTAATTTTGAATTTCTTACAGAAAATAAAAGAAAGCACAAGAAAATTTGTAAGTTATTTATAACTAAACTTTTAAATTTCTCCATTACAAAATTTTCATCTTAATAAAATACTTGCAAATTTTCTTTCTAATCAAATGGAGTCTTAGAGAAAAATTATGGCGGAAAATTCTTATCCAAGTCTTTTAAACCATTTTTGCTTGGAAAAATCTTATCCTTGTGAAAAAAATACAAATCCTTATCCAAGACAGCAAAATTTTAAAGCTCTACACATCAATACTTTTCGGTCATGTTTGATTTATAATACTAATAGTGAGGTATTAATAATCCTATTAAATTAGTGTGGTATTAACTATCCCACCCCTACCCCATTACTAATAATCCTACAAATTTGTTGGATTAATTATCCATTAGATTAATAGTCCTAAATCAAAATGTCAAAACAAACATAGGATGATTGGGCCCACGGATTAATAATCCTAATCCCATGCTTTAATCCTTCCAATCAAACATGTCATGAATTCAAATGACTCAGTCAGCTATTGGTCCGTGGGTGGCCGAGGAGACCAATGCTAACTGGAAGTTTTAAAATAAAATAACTAAATAAATAAATAAATAATGCTATGAATAAACAAAATTTTGATCACTAAACACAAAAATAGTGGGATCAATTAATAAATACAAGTGGGGAACTCATATTTTTGTGCCAGGTGATAAGAATTTCTGAGTAAAACTTAAAAAACGGAAGAGGAGAATAAAAACAAATTAAGTTTGTTCATGGTGTGAATGTCTAGTAGATGAGAAGGAAAATATGATGAGTAATTCAAAGAAAGTGGCCATCTCATGAAGGTCCAAGGACATAACTACCAAAAAATAAAAAATAAAAAACAATGCCGATAACCTCAAAGTTATTAGGCCAAGGTTTTACCATTGAATCAATGGTCATCCCTGTCCAAGGACATAACTACCGAAGAATAAAAGCATAGAAGACTTTTAGTACTCGCGAAAAGTACATATATGATGTTTAACCTTCGTGGTGACAGTGACCTGACCAAAGTATGAAAATCATTACCTAACTTGAGAAAATTGAGGTAATCTTATTGTGGCATTATCAACCGGTTGTTAAGAAAGACTAGACCTATTTGGATGATGTAGTTGTTTATTTTTCAAACACAGCCTAAAGAGTTTTCTTGTTCTTCCTAAATTGCTCCTGCAGCTTGGAATGATATATACAACCACAAAACTATCTCATGCCTAGAAAGCTAACTCTACCCATGTATTTACCTAGGATGCTTCTGCAGCCTATGTTAGCATGGGTTTTGGGATCAGCTGTTCTTGCTGCTGCTGCTGCTTCCGCTGCTGACGAAACCTCATCTGTTTGCTCACGTACTTGCGATCAAATTAAAGTCCCGTACCCATTTGGCACAAAGGAAGGATGCTACATGGAAGAACATTTTCATGTTACTTGTGACCACTCTACCGACCCTCACAAGCTGTATTTAAATACGAGTGATGCTAACATAGAGATCAGAGACATACTTCTTTCTGGTGAATTGCACATATCATCCCAAATAGCGCGTGATTGCTACAATAAACAGGGGGTTCAGGTTTTCAACAATCAAATCTCAGTCAGATCCGGCAAATTCCCCATCTCAATCACCCGAAATAAGTTCATAGCCATAGGCTGTGACACCTACGGTGTTATTGAGGGTTTTGACGGACAAAACTATAGCACGGGTTGCTGGTCACAATGTGACAATATCAACAAAGTGATCAACGGCTCTTGTTCTGGTATTGGCTGCTGTGAGAAAAGTATCCCAAAAGGAGTGACGAGTTTCAAATTCAATGTTAGTAGCCATGACAAACATACCCGTGTTTGGGAGTTCAATCCGTGCAGTTATGCTTTTGTAGCTGAAGAAACTAATTATGCCTTCTCTTCTGTAGATCTTGCAAGCTTACAAAATAGATCAATGGTTCCAGTGGTGCTTGATTGGGCAGTAGGGAACCAAAGATGTAATGAAGCCAAAAAAAATCTAACTAGTTTTGCTTGCAAGGCTAATAGCCACTGTTATGACTTTGACAATGGTCCTGGGTATCGCTGCAATTGCTCCCAGGGATATGAAGGGAACCCTTATTCTCCTAATGGTTGTTCAGGTAACAACAACTATGTTGAAAGCTTTCAATTTCTTCTTAATATTGATGCTATGATTTATATACTGTAGCTATCGAATTTCACATCAAAGATCAAACTTGGTGGTTCTCTGTTTCAGATATTGATGAGTGCGTTATTTCAAGCCCAAGCCCCTGCAACATCACATGCCAAAATTTACCTGGCACATACAATTGTTCTTGTCCAGAGGGCTATGAAGGTGATGGAAGAACAGATGGATCAGGTTGCAGTCCAATTCCAAATTCCAACAACATCCCTCCCTTGATTAAGATTGCACTGGGTAGGTACACATACACCCACATGCTTCTAATTATATAATTGTCAACAGATCAAATTTTCATCTATGTTCAACCCATTGATGCTTGTGATTTGGACTCTCGTCTTTACAGTCCCCAATTATTGATGCACAGATTACAAACACTTTGAACATGATATATCTCCAGTTTCATTGTATCTTCGTTTCAGCAAACTAACATTTAAGTAGAAAGCTGAACAACCAATTCTCTCATCTTATTTTTCCATTTTCATGTCTTGGTTGTGTTTGGAAAGTCAAACCAAAAAAAAAAAAAAAAAAAAATTGTTGTCCAAATATGGTTGAAATTTCACCCAGAAAATGAAATGTGTAAACTAGATTCATTCTGGGTGTTGTGCATTCCACACCAAATTTAAATCTATGATACACTTCATTTTTGGGGGCTTTTTCGTTTGATCAAAACTAATTTGAAACTTGAATTCTTGATATTGACATCTCCATTCCAATCCCGACAGGCATAAGCATAGGCGTATCAGTGCTACTTCTTGGTGGCTCCTGGCTATATTGTGGATTTAGGCAAAGGAATATCATCAATCTCAGAGAGAAGTTCTTTCAGCAAAATGGTGGCATCATGTTACAACAACAACTTTCCATGCGTGAAGGATCAGTACAATACGCTAAAATCTTTACTGCAGAGGACCTTGAGAAGGCAACAAACAACTACCATGAAAGTAGAATCCTGGGCCAAGGTGGCCAAGGAACAGTCTACAAGGGAGTATTAGCAGATACCACCGTAGTTGCCATCAAGAAGGCCAAAGTAGCAGAACAGAGCCAGTCCCAAATTGAGCAATTCATTAATGAAGTCATAATTCTCTCCCAAGTCAACCATAGGAATGTTGTGAAACTCCTAGGGTGTTGCTTGGAGACACAAGTTCCTTTACTAGTCTATGAATTTATTACCAATGGGACTCTCTATGACCACATACACACTGTTGGTGGCACAACCTCAATGTCATGGGAGAATCGTTTAAGGATAGCAACAGAAACTGCAGCAGCCCTTTCATATTTGCACTCTGCCGCTAGCACTCCTATCATTCATAGAGATGTTAAGTCCACTAACATACTATTAGACGACAATTACGTTGCAAAAGTATCCGATTTTGGCTCTTCAAGGTTGATCCCCATGGACCAAACTCAGTTAACCACATTGGTTCAAGGGACACTTGGTTACTTGGACCCAGAGTACTTCCAAACAAGCCAATTGACTGAGAGGAGTGATGTTTACAGCTTTGGGGTTGTCCTTGTAGAATTGCTAACCAGCAAGAAAGCAATTTCTTTTGACAGGCCTGAAGCAGAAAGAAATTTAGCAATGTATTTTATTTCAGCAATGAAAGAAGATTGCTTATTTGAAATTGTTGATGAACAGGTGATAAATGATGCAAAGGCTGACCAACTAAAAGAAGTTGCTAGTTTAACAAACAGATGCTTAAGAGTGAAAGGTGATGAAAGGCCAACCATGAAGGAAGTGGCAATGGAGCTAGAGGGATTGAGAATGATGGAGAAAAACTCATGGTTAAATGACAAGAAAAATTTAGAAGAGACTCAGTATTTGCTTGGAGATCAACTTTCAAATGCTTATGGTGGTGGCACTAGTATGAGCAATTCAACAGCTTATGATAGCATAGCAAACAATGCCATGACACCATTTCATAGTGGAAGATAAGGTGTTGCTTATGATGCTCTATGCTCATTAGATGTTTTGTAATATTTTTATTTCAGCCAATTTGTCAAATAACCCTGTGAATTGTTTTGAATATTTGGTTATATATGTTGAGGTTGAATTTGTTTGAATTTAGACTTTGAGCATCAAATGATTGTCTTGAAAGGTAGTTACCAATGCAAAACAAACAATGAATGATAAAATTTTGCAGTTTGGAGCACATCTACACATACTATATAAATGAAGTACCACCGGTACCACTTTACCTTTTCGTTTCATCATCACAAACAAATGATTTTATCATCATTTAAAAGCCTAGCTGATGCAGTGTGGTTAGATAACAAGTTGATGGATCAATTTAACAGTTTCAATTAAATTTGATAATTTAGGAGAATTTCCAAAGTTATTGGATCAGCCCTGAAGGACCCATATTCGATCTGAAACAACCTAATTCCGAAACTTTTACATCATTTGCTTTTTTATCAACTTTAAATTACTTCAAGATCATTAAGTGCCTAATCAACTGGGATTAAGTCAGATGGGACACAATCCTAACACTTTATTGGGATGTTAAAATTTGAATATTACCACAGACAACTACTTTTCACGTTACAGCTAATGTACCCCCCCTCCAAAAAAAAAAAAAAAAACTAAAGGGCTTTGTTGGTCAAGTGGTACCAATTGGCTTTCAATTTGTCAGGCCCTCAAATCCTCATATTATCTTGATGATCCAAAAGTGGGTTCATCAAAGCAAGATGAGCCCAAATTTTTCTACTTATCTGATGTGTACTACAATTAACTTTCAAGTCTACAATTGATTATATGTGAACGAAGTCTGAATTTGATGCATACTACAGTTATCTTCAAATCTATAATTTAAGCCCTTTCCATGTATTCCACTTTTTTTTATCCAAATCAACCAAAAAATAAATGAATATATAAAGAATAGTAATTTAGTAGAATTTCCCAATATAAGTCCTATTTTTTTCCTTTTTGCAAATTTATTCTCACCATATTTTTGTCTAAATTCAGCAATTTCACATATAAACCAAAGTTGTCAATCATGTTGTTGCTAACTCATTGGTTTGGAGCAATAGGTAAGTAAGATTTACTAAATAATTATACAAACAGAATAAATGAAATTGGGAACATTAACATAAAAAAATTCAAACAATTCACGGGGGTAATTAGAATTACTATTGCATGGACGTTTTCTTCTCATTGCCTGAGGTTTGTTTTTCTTCATATGTGGAGACTCATATACTCCTTGCTTGGATGTTTTTTTTATGAGTGCTGCTATTAGCAACCTATAAATTATTTTGGACCCTCAATTTTTAGCTCTTTTTATTTATTTATTTATTTATTATAATAATAACCTCAAATAAAATTACTACAAAGGCTAACTCATTGGTTTGGAGCAATAGGTAAGTAAGATTTACTAAATAATTATACAAATAGAATAAATGAAATTGGGAACATTAACATAAAAAAATTCAAACAATTCACGGGGGTAATTAGAATTACTATTGCATGGACGTTTTCTTCTCATTGCCTGAGGTTTGTTTTTCTTCATATGTGGAGACTCATATACTCCTTGCTTGGATGTTTTTTTTATGAGTGCTGCTATTAGCAACCTATAAATTATTTTGGACCCTCAATTTTTAGCTCTTTTTATTTATTTATTTATTTATTTATTATAATAATAACCTCAAATAAAATTACTACAAAGAACCTCAGTAATTTTGGGACACCCCATCTCTAAATTAAACCTACACATCCACTACATCATGAATTAAGATTTATTAAAGCACCCACCTCTATCACCACCCATCCATCTTCTCCAAATCCTACCTTCAAAACCTACCCACCCTCAAAACCTTGAAAACCTTTTGGTGGCAATATTCCGGCGATAACGGTGGCAACCATTTGATTACCTACATTGAACGGTAAAAACATTGATATTTGTTAACACATTAAACAGTCAAAATTGTTAACGCTTGCAGAAGTTTTTATTTTTTCAAGTTCGGAAATACAGGTCCGAACATTACTTATTTGTTTGGGAAGATGTTCCCGACCAAATAAGTGATGTTCAGGAATGCAAGTCCGAATATGAAAATTTCTTAACACATTGAACGGTCAAAATTGTTAGCACTCGTAGAAGTTTTTATTTTTTCAAGTTCGGGAATATAAGCCCAAACATTCCTTATTTGTTCGTGAACACATTCCCGAACATAGATTACCTGTTTGGGAATGCAGGTCCGAACATGAAAATTTGTTAACACTTTCAACCATTAAAATTCTTAACACTCGCAGAAATTTTATTTTTTCAAGTTCGGTAGTTTCAATTTTGAAGAAGCAAACAGAATGAGAAGCAATGAGAACGAGAGCGAGAGAGAGAGAGACATAGAGAGAGCGAGAGAGCATACCAACTATGATAATGATTAAACCGGCAGAGACAGTATTCTTCTTCTTCTTCTTCTTCTTCTTCGTGGGTTTTGCAAATGATGAGACTCTTCTTTTCTTAGTGGGTTTCGTTAGGGTTTTTTGGAAGGGAGATTTATTTGGAGGTGTGGAGGTGTGGAGCGTGTGCATTCAATCGGTGGAATGTTTAAAGATAATTTTGATATTATTTTTTGGGGGGGAAAGAAATTTTAAGGGTTTTAAAATTTATACGTGGGGGTCCAAAATAATTCATGGGGTGTTAATAGCACCACTCTATTTTTTATTCCTTTTGTGATCCATTTTATATTTCATTATATTTTATTAGATGACATATTATTAAATGTGTAATATATTAAGTCTTGTAATTTTCTATAATAATAATAAAGATAAAAATAAAAACCAAAAACACACACACAAAATTAGAATTACTCTTGGTGAGAATTGACAATCATTGCTATCAAGGTCTATTTTGAGAAGTATGTTAAAAATTAAGGTTCTGTTTGATAAGACTTTCTAATTATGATTTGAGAATATGAGTTGTATTTTGAATTTATGTGTTTTGAAATTATGATTTGAGTGTAGAAAATTTGTTACGTTATGATTTTTGAATAGAGTGTTGAATTGAGTTTTGAATTGGGTGTGAAATTGAGTTTTGAAAGTTTGATTTGACATGTGAAGTAAGAAAATTTGTTTGGTTATGAGTTTTGGAAAGAATTTTCAAAACTTAATTCAACTTGTTATAACTCATAACAAAACACACTACTTTCACACTATTAAAAATTTTGATCAATACTTATAACCAAACTCTTTTTAAAATTCAACTAAAAAAATTTATTATTAACAAAAAATAACATTAATCAATTTTTTAATTGAAAATACTACAAAGGAAATATTTTTTTTTTCAAAATAAATATTAAAAAAATTTAAATCATAAATATTTAAATAATTTAAATAATCTAAAAAATTTAATAAGTAAAAAATTAAAATAAATATTCAAAAAATTTAAATCGTAAAAATTTAAATAATTTAAATATTCAAAAAATTTAAATAATTTAAAATGTTAATATTTTAAATTTAAAAACAACTCTACACTCAAATCGTAACCAAACATATAAAACAAAACTCAATTAAGAAATTATTTTTAAAACTCATAACCAAACACATAACTCGAAACTCCATACTACTTTCACACCTCTACACTCAAATCGTAACCAAATATATAACAAAAAAAATATTTAAAAATATTTTTATAAAATAGAGTTTGAATTTATTTTTATAAAATATTTTAAAATTTAAAAAATTAAAATCGTAATATTTAAAAATATTCAAAAAATTAAAAAATTAAAAAAATCGTAACATATTTAAATATTAAAATATTTAAAATTTTAACAAAATTAAAATATTTTTAAAATATTTAAATATTTAAAATATTTAAAAAATTAAAATATTGATTTTAATTGAGTTTTAAAAAGAGTTTTGAATTATGTGTTTTGTTATGAGTTTTGAAAAGTAATGATTATGTTTTGAATTGAGTTTTGAGAAATGAGTGTAAAATTATGATTTGAAAGCTCAAAACAAACACCACCCTTAAATCAATGGATGAAACTATAATTTGAGAGGCTTATCAAACGGAGTCTAAGTTTTTAATTTTTTTTAAAAGCATATAAAAAGATAGAAAAATGATATGATTTAAAAAAATTAAAATACTAAAAAATTAATGTTTAATTAAATTTCCAAAATAGGCCCAAGACTCGTCAATTTGGACTAATAAACATTCATGCCTGCATCGCCAGGTTCCAAAGTTAATTAGAATATAACTCCGCACGCCTAAATAATACTTTTCCACGAAATGACTGAGTCAGCTATTGTAACATCAATGAGAGAATCAACACTAACGGAATGTTGTCTGCCAAAAGTAACATCAATATGACTTTTTCAATTGAATAATACTATATGTATTAACTAATGTACATATTAATGTACTAATAGATGGTGTAATATTATTTGTATAATTTTTAATATTTATAACTTGTATAATAAATGTGGTAAATAATAATATCATAACACTAGTTAGTACACTAGTGTATATATTAGTATATATATTAATTGGTACATATAGTACTACCGTTTTCAATTTGACCTTCCAATCACATTCTAGTGTTATTGGACTGCACATAAAGGAGAGTATTAGATTTAGTCTCAGGCCGTCTGTTTTCAGAGATAAAATACTCTAATTGAATGTTGTCTGCCAAAAGTAACATCAATATGACTTTTTCAATTTGATCTTTCAATCACATTCGAGTCTTATTGGAGAGCACATAAAGGAGAGTATTAGATTTAGTCTCAGGCCGTCCGTTTTCAGAGATAAAATACGCTAATTGAATGTTGTCTGCCAAAAGTAACATCAATATGACTTTTTCAATTTGATCTTTCAATCACATTCGAGTGTTATTGGACTGCACATAAATGAGACTATTAGATTTAGTCTCAGGTCATTTGTTTTCAAAAATAAAATGAAGAGAATTGATAGTGAAGGATTAGTAAAATTATGTTTATTTTGATAATAGTTGTTAGTGTGGGGATTATTAAATTATATTTATATAAAATAATAAAATAAATAAAATTATGATTTTTACTTAATAAAAAATACAAAAACATTAAACATTAATGTTTAAAAAGAAAATTTGCTGTTG